TCCCCAAACCCACAAGGCAGCATAAAGCATCTCTCTTGTTTTTTGTATTTTTGGTTTTTTCTTTCCAGTACTGGGAATCGAACTCACGACCTTGCGCTTGCCAGGCAGGCATTGCACCACTGAGCTAAATCCCCAGCCCCAAAGCATCTCTCTGGTAAGTTGATTCTCTTGGATATTAGTTACAGTAGCAGAAAGCTGACCAATATAAGCATCATTCTTCTCCTTCCCTTGTAAAGGAATACCCTCTGCCCCACCAGCTGCATTCCAATGACTCTCAGCCAGAGACCGTCAGCCGTGACCGGGGGAGGTGTCCTCCCTCATGGGGATTCTGGCTAGGGATATGAAGACTTAGAAAAGGATGACAGTCATAGCCCCCATTAGGACCACTTAGCTGTCAAAGAAAGACTCATTTTGAGCCAGGAAATCAGCTAACTAATGAGCATATAGCTTTTGGTAAAGTGATACCTTCCACGGTTCTAAGAGGTATCCCTGCCTAAGTTTCCAGGTCTCTGCCTCCACCTGCCTGTGATTCTTGATGGCCAAGTGACCCCTCTTGCCCTTTCCACCAATTTAAGGCAAATTCCACCCTATCCACTTCCATTCTCTGATGGGTCCTCTGAGGTCATTAATGCCTGCAGTTAAAAATCTAACCTTTGCATCAGATGAACACTGTGTCAGGCAGAGGCAATGATGACAGACGATGAGAGAAGTGTCTAAAGGCCTTGCGCTCTTGTCAGTCAGAGGATTATGGAAATCTGTGGCTTGGGAATGCCAGCTTCGGGCAAAACCATATTGGTTGGATTCAATTGCTCATCAGAAGTTCACTGACACACCCCCCAGTGGCTGTAGTCATGACATCAGTGGCCAAGTGTAACCGACAAGTCCTCTTGTTGCTGTTGCTACCTCCAGTGGTTAACCTTGGTTATGGCCATCCCACTGGTGGAGAAAAACTCTCTGCCAAGGTTATGATATTGATTTCATTTTAGGATGGTGCAATTCTGTCTGCACTGGGCATTCCACTACTGACACAGAGCCTGCCTTGTTTGTTGCAATTATTTAAAATCCTCTGGCACCACTGTTCCCTAATTTACCCCAGATTTCTGAATGCAGGAGACATCCCTGATGAGTTTATCACTGGCCCACGTGGCTAGTGATAGGCCTTTGCGCTTGTGACCACTGAACCAGGCAGAGTTGTACTGGGCATAGCCATAAAATCACCCTCTAGGAGTCAGAGGGGGCCTTCTCGGTCTTTCGTGGCAGAAACACCTGCCTATAGCTAAAATGCATATTTTATTTATGAAGCTGTTTTACGCAGAGTCCTTAATTTTCTGGTTGTCTGGCCAACAGAAATCCTGCTACTCTCGTTATCAGACAGCTAATTGTTACTGCCTGCGCTGGTAACCACTTACAGGAATGTTAAAGGTTTTTAGTTCACTCAGAGAGTCCATCCACCCATCCATTTTTGTCCTGGCTACTCCTAAAGCCTTAGCCAGTTGGCTTTGAAAGTCTCATGTGGGTCTGGGAGCTGTAACCCCAGCTACTTGGGAGGCTGAGGCAGGAGGATCAAAAGTTCCCTGGGCAATTTAGCAAGACCCTCACTCAAAATAAAAAGGACTGAAGATGTGGTTCAGTGGCAGAGTGCTTGCCTAGCATTCACAAGGCCCTGGGTTCCATCTCTAGCACCATTACAAAGACAAGAAAAGGTCTCATACATGTGAGTGGAGGCCAGTCTGGGCACGGCTGATGTCCCATCCAGAAGACAGCTTCCCCAGTGTCATCCTTATGCACAGAGGGGAGGTTTGGGCATTGAGAAATTACCCCTTTGCCAAAACAAGAGCTTCACTGGCCTTGATGGGCTCTGTGGGTGCAGGTGAGGGTCTGGGAAGCCATACTCAGTGTGTAGCTGCAGCCAGCAATGTGATCAGAGGAACCTGGACTGCGGAAGGAGACAGCATTGAGGGCTCTGCCCTAAAACAATGGGAAACCTGGAGGCCAGTGGTTTATGGGGTGTTTCCCATAAAGATGCAGAGCACAAGGACTCCCTGGGGATCTCCATCGCAAACAACAGCTCGCGTTTCATCTGGCCACGTTTGCATTTTTAACTCTCAGCATATCCAGACTGGGAGAGGGGCATGCACTCCCAGAATCCTGCCAGCCTTCCTCTGCCATCAAAGCTGTGAGCATGGGCAGATGCAGACGGCAGGAGGAGCGCGGCTGGGCTGCAGAGAACCATAAACCTCTCAGAACAGAATGCCTCCTCCGCCGTGCACAGAAGTATGCTATTCTCTTAAACCGCGAGCCTGGAATGCGCCCTCTGATGATGATTACAGGCCGAATCAACAGCCAAGTGATGGAAACCAGCCCAACACTCTGGGGTCCAGGCTGCAGGCAGCTGTGGCCTAATGAGATCCAGAAGCCCAGCCTGCCCCTCTAGCAGGCTCCTTGGGGATGGGGGTGGGCAGGCATTGCTCTGAGGGGCTCCCTGCCCTGGGATGGAGGTGCAGCATCCTTCTGCCTCACCCTAGGGCTCTGCAGAGCTGCACAAGTTAGCCCGATCCCTCTCCACCAGCCTCACTTGGGTGAGGAAGGGGACCGTTGCACATAGGTCAGAGCATCTAAGTGGTCTGAGCTTGTCCCAGGACCTCTATCCAGCTCAAACCATGACGTACCTGCATCCAGATCTCCTCCGTGCTCATTAGCACCCTATTCACACCTGCAAAATGCAGATGAAGTGTGCTCTCTTTGCACTGGAGGAAATGATGTCTTTTTGCATACATAATGAAGCTCCCTGATGGTGCTCCCACAATAACAGATTGGCTGGATATAAAGTGAAGGGTTATTGATTCCACCCAGACTCACCTGATCATTCTGTTACCCCACTGTAACACAAGCCCATTTTCTTTTTTAGAAGCTGAATGTTTTGGTTCCTCTTGAAGAATTCACTGTATTTATTAAGCATTTGAAGTGTACATAAAAATATGCAACAGTCACCCTCCACCTGCTGCTAGGCCCACTTTAGTGGATGAGGCTTCCGTGAGGGGCAGCTACCATGGAAATTTCAGCCTAAAGGAGCCCCTATTTTAAGCGTTAGTGGGTCACTGTCTCTCATCAGTGATCCCAAAAGTGGAGAGCAGCAGTTAAGAGGATACAGAGAATCCAGGAGACGGCATTCAGTCCCCTGCAGAGGTGAGTGGTAGGGAAATGGCTCAACAAAGAATTGGAGGCAAAATGCTTGTTCTGGTCCCACAGGACCGTAGACCCCGACCTGCCTTTGTTAATAGGTTTCCTCCTCAGAGGGCTCTGGGGAGGGGAATGTGGCTGGTATTTAGTTCTCCACTGTTTCAGGCGGCGGGTGAGGAGAAAGCGCCAGACCCAGCTTTCTCCGAATGCACAGTTATACTTTGCAGCCCCATCCTCTCCGGCCCCACAAGAGCCACTGGTCCTGAGAGATGGAGCATTCTGAAGTAGTTGGGGACATGCTCGCCATTATCTTGCTCAGTGCTATTTTTGTTGAATGTGAGCACTCTCAGCACAAGCCTCGCTTCTTGTGGACCTTGACACAATTTAGGAGTCAAGGAACTGATTCCTGCACAAGAAAGAAAAGCCTGCTGAAAGCTCAGTGCAAAAGATGACCTCTAAGAAGACCCGTCAACTGTGGAGGGGGAAAGCAGGAAGGTACTGATTTTCCACATTTAATATTCTTCAGGCTTTCCAGGGAAGGACTCACAGTAGAAAGGCCTTGATTCTATCTAGAAGGAAATTTACTGACTCTCTGGGATGGGTCTGACCTCTCCAGATGTGGTTACAAGACTGCCATGGTTTACCTCAGAGGACTATCTCACAGGCAGATGCATCAACTGCCCTAATCTTCCTCACAACCAATATTGTGAACGTCTTCCTATCCTCTGGCTTTATCCACAGGGAGTATATCCCACAATCAGCGAGAATGTTCTAGAACTTTCCTGAAAATTCTAGAGTGCCTAGACAGTCAGGCACCCTAGAATGTCAGATACTACATCTCTCTGCTCCAGGGCCCTCTCAGGTTAGAGAACCTCCCTCCTCAAGGTACTTCCCACATACACTGGACTGGAGTTGAGGGGCAGGGTATGCTTTTGGTCTGTGACTGTCACTGCTCAAATTCTCTTGCTACTTAGAACACTGTTACACTTCCTTCTCCTCGAATTTTCCATCACGACTCATAGTGGACATGAGAAATGGGAAAGTCCCACCTGTGATCCCTATAAGCAATTGGAAGTAATTCTAAGACTTCCCTGGCCACCTGATGCAGTTACATGCTCTTCCAGTGGGGCCGCTCAGGCTTTGATATAAAAGCAAATCTTTTCCCAGCACTTGGCAGAGTGAGTCAGGAGGATCACTGTGAGTTCAGGACCAGCCTGGGCTACAAAGTGAGTTCAAGGCCGGTCTGAACTGCATAGTGAAACCCTGCCTCAAAAAGACCCTCCCCACAAAAAGCAAAACTTTTATTAAGTGTATTGCAACTGTCCAAATACCCACCACTAGAAAAAAATTATTGTGGATTGAGCACTTCTTATGTGACAGTGCTTAACATCATTCTTTCCTATCCCACGAGGTAGGTATTCTTTTTTCCCTGTAACAGGTAAGGAAATAAAGGCTCCAAAGATATAAGTTAGCATCTCACAGCCAAGTGCCAAAATTAAGTGCAGGTTGGGCAGGTCTGGGTCCAGAGCCAGCCTCCTGCCTGTAGCCCTCCACGTCTGCCTATAGACCTGGTGCAGCCTTTCCTCTGTCCCTGGGTTTCCTAGGACGGGGCATTTTCAGGACTAAAATGAAACAGTGGGTCAACGCTTCAGGGAGCAGGGGTAGGTGGCTATTAAGGTAAGCCTCAGCTTAGAAGCAGATGCAAGCTTCAATGAATTTTTTTTGGTACCAGGACCTTGTGCTTGCCAGGCAGGCACTTGTACCACTGAGCTACATCCCCAGCCCCAAGCTTCAGTGAAGAAGGAAAGGAATGCCCTTTGTACATAAGAGAAGACCTCACACCTACCCCTGCCCTGGGGAAGAACAGTATGACATCAAAGGGAATTTTCTTTGTCGTAAAGGTGAAGGTAAACGTGAAGTTTTCCAGCTTCCCAGAATATCCCAGTTTTAGTCTTCAGGCCAGGACGCAATCTGGATGATTTGGATGGTGTAGGCAGAATTGGTTGGTGAGCAAGATTTGTCAGGCATTCAAGAAACATCTCTGAGTTCTTCTTCCCCTTTTATGAATCCAAGAACTGTAAAACTAGTTAAATGTTAAACCATACCTCTCATCTTTCGTACACGCTCCTCTCTGGGAATGCTTCAGAGCCCACATTCCTCCAGAACATAACCCAAGGTCCTTAAGGTGATCCTCAGCTACCTACGCGTCCTGCGCACTGAGGAGTCAAAGCGGTTGAGGAGAGCTCCCCTGCCCCTGCCGGGTCTCACTGCTCTTAAACTAACTAGGATGTGCCCCAGTCGCGCATTTCCTGGCGGCTGGTCGCTTTGGAACTTGAATGCGTTTCTCCCCCAAGCAGCGGTAAGGTGGAGAGGGGGTGGTTCAATGCACCAGCAGCCCAGCCCCCACCTCGTGCCCCGCAGGCGCTCTGCTGGGTGGGCTGCAGGGAGGCGCTGGCACCTGGGCAGTTCCCATGACAGCATCTGAGAAGGCGCTGGCAGCAGGGAGTAGGGGCGGAGTTCAGGGGCCTAAAGAACGGCGCTTTGTGAGTGGCTGGTTCCCATGGCAACCGCTGGGTGCCTCCTAGGCAGCCAGAACCCAGTAGCTCTGCCTATAGCGACAACTAGGAGCAAAACACCTTTGGAGAACCGGCGTTTCCACCACCAGCATTCCTAAATAGCTCTGCTTCGATTTCCTGGAACAAACGCTTTTTCAGCATCTACATGCCAAATATTGTGGTGGATACTGGGCTTTAGGAAAAAGACACGGCCACTGGCCCTCTCCTGGCAGGGCTCCAAGCTGAGAGGGTGAGCTAAACACGTAGCTAGAGGCAGAGGGACAAAGTCCATCTCTCCCAGTGGGAAGGAGGAGGGCAGAATGAAGGTTGAGAAGGGTTCAAGATTTTCCCAACTGGTTTTGAAAGGCAACCCATGGAATATTTAGCAAAAGAGAAAATGGAACCTCAAAAGTTACTGGAATCCGTGTTCTTACCTTCTTCCTAGGAGTGCATAGCCTGGTCTTCCTTGCAGCTAGGAGTAGCCTGTGGATATCCAATAGATATTAAGAGGAAGTCACACCGGCCCCTTCCAAGCCTGGGCCCATCCTCTCTGGCTGGCTGGGATAGTCTCTGAGCAATCTTGGAAGTGACTTGGTGAGATCAAAAAGGCTGTGCATGACCATCCTGGAGAGGATTGCTCCACCTACCTCTTGCCCAGCCCAGAATTATGACCTGAATAGGAAATAAACTTCTAATGTGATTATGCATCTTATTGAGGTCTGTTTGTTTCCGTAATTAACCTTTCCTCACTTGTACGCGAGCACCGTCCTATCTTGCTTTCAGATTCCCTGTACATTTCAGAGATTGACGCTGGTTCTAGGGCAACTGGTGGCATCCAAGGTAAGTAGGCTAACGTTGGACAGACCCAGAGATACTGGGATCAGAGCTGTTCTGTTCATCGTGATGACAGCTTTCTATGGTCTGGAGACACTTCCAAGAAGTTGGTTCCAAAATAGAGCATGAGCCATTCACATGACATATACTAGGGAGATTATAGATCCCTTGTTTTGTGGTGTCTGTAACCCAAAATGTGGTCTATAAGTACTTGTGTGTGGATGGATGGATGGATGGATGGATGGATGGATGGATGGATGGATGAATAGGTAAATAGATGGATAATGGCTTTTACTAGAGGGCAAAGGAAAGAAAGAATATTCTAAACAGAGCTATGAAATCTAAACCCCAATGAAGTATGTAAGGAAAGGAGCTGCTCCAGTGATGATACCCTTTGCTACATGTTGGAAAGTCTAGCTGTGTAGACAGGAGTAGATCTGAAATAAGTAGTCCCAGGAGATAACTGTGGCCCACGTGGCCCATGCTGCTGGAAATATTTCCCACCCATCCAAGCAAGGGTTGCCATTTTAGCAAATGAAAATACAAGATCCCCAGTTAAATTTGAATTTCAGATATACAATAAAAATTTGCTGGTGCAATATTTGGGGCATTTTTATAAAGCAGAACGCAAGAGAAACCTAGCAGGGGATGGGGATTTAGCTCAGCAGCACAGCGTCTGCTTGGCAAGCACAAGGTCGTAAGTTTGATTCCCGGTACAAGAAAAAAAAAGTTAAAAGAAAGAGAAAACTAGCCTTTCTCTTCCTCCTAAAATCTTTCCAGCTCTGGAGAGCTCCTCCTCAGGCAACACCGCTCTCAGGAATGTGGACTTGCATTTTCATACCAGGTCCTGTGCTTTTCTCACTGATAAGGGACACACTTCAGATGTTCTCTCCTGGGAATCTCCACCCCTCCTACAGGGGTGATACTGCGGACCAACACGGACAAAACTAACAGATGGGGTTACACACAAGCTTCAGAGCAGCCCAACACCCTGACATGCACAGCATGTGTTTCTTTCAAGGCTAAGATGGGGTTAGCTGCTAGGATGACTGACTGCCTTTGTCTCACTTCTGTATCTCTACTTGCTTGACGTCACACATTGTACAAAAGGGAACCTCTCCTGGGTTCAGGACCCAGCCTAGTTTTGAGCATTTTAGTGGCTGGGACAGTGTACCATGAAAGCCCTCCTGAAAAATCCCTTCTGGTCTCTCCAGTTTCTTGAAAAGTCTACAGCACTTATACCAAAAAATTATTTTGTATCTCAAATCAAATTAACTGAGCATATTATTTTGACCCAACAACCATAGGCCGGGCTCCTAAGCAGGTGACTTTGTATAGACAAATTTGGGAGACACTGGCCCAGGCTGGTCACAGCCATTGTTCCAGGGACTTGGATCCTCTTGTCAAAGGTGGTCTCCCCTCCTCTAAATGGCCAGAAGGAAAGAGACCTGTAGCAACTTCATTTGACCTCTTTCCTGCATTTTGGAAAGTATTCAAAGTACAGTATATATCAGGTCTGTAACTGGTGATATAAGTTAGAGCAGCAAAAACACACCAAAAAATGCCTTTGGCCCTCAGTTCATTGGATCCAAAGAGGAAATTCATCCAACCCAGTGCCTGATTATTAAATGTGAGACATAAATTTTCACTCACAGTAGGACATACCAAATGGGAGCACAGGGTTTGAACTTTTAGAAAAAGCCTCTATGTGCTTTTCATTCAAGATTCCTAAAACAAATTGGCTCACCTGTAGTTACTGTTGCAGTGGAGAAATCAGTAGAGGTATGGTTCATTCTCAGCACAGGAGTCTTGGCTGGCCTTTGGACAGACATTGTTTTTCTTTCCCTTTAGATTCAACATGATTTTACCTTATTTTCTGAATAGCTCCAGGAGCCATAGGGGAACATCCTGGAAGTTACAGGAATTTTGCTTCACCCTTTACAGGTTTACATTAAACCTTTACACTTTACGATCACTTTACAGGTTTGCATTAAAACCTCCATAGAGTGAAAACAGCCCAGAGGCCTGGAGGGATGAGCCAAGAGCTTCCTGGGGTGGGCAAAAAACTGGCTACCAATGAAGCACCATCCTGGTTGATATCTATTGCCCCATGTCCATACTGGGACCAAGAGCTGTGTCTAACCATCACACCGTCAAAGAGCCTTGGTCATGGTCACCCTCATTTCTCCCAGGTACTTCTTGTCATCAGCACCGTCCTGCTGATATCCTTGTTTCTGTGCTTTCAGCTCGGTAACCCATGCTCCACCAGCAACCAGAGGCGACCTTCAAAATGCCACTCACCTGCTCTGTAAAATGCCAGTCACCTTCCAGTGACTCTGCAACCCCTTAAGCAACAGCCAAACCCTTTTCCTCACAGTGCAGCAGCTGATCCACCCACTAACCTCCTTTTCCTTCATTCTTCCCACAACGCCCATTTTACTAGGCACGCTGCCTTCTTTCTGCTCCTCAAACACTACCTCCATCCCTGCTCAGGGCCCTGTGTTAGCTGTTTCCTGGGCCTGGAAAATTCATACCGCGTCTGTTTGCCTTGCTGCTGCCTTCTGTCCTTCAGGTAACAGTCTCAAAACCGCCTTTCGAACAGCTTTTCCTGATCATAAAATCTGAAGGAACCTCCTGCTCTCTTACTTTTCCCCATCTCATCACCCATTTTATTTTTATTGAAGTACTTATCAAGTTTTCTTTGTTTGTTTACTATCCGTATCCTCAAAATAAAATGTAAATGCACTTTGGTCATAGTGGCCAATAGCCTTGGTCTCTAGAACAACATGGAGCACATAGTAGGCTGTCAGTAAATGAGAAAGGAACACATATACCCGAGGAAGTAACCTTCAGTTTCATTATATCACTGGGCACTCAATACTAATGAAGACAGCACAAACACAGCTACTATTAATAATAGTAAACACATACCCGGGGCTTGCTACATGCCTAAGCACTTAACATGTATCACTCACATGTAATCAGCCTTGTAAAGTCTGTACTATAAAATCTCATTTCACAAATAAAGGTATGTATGAGGAAGGACAAACATGAGACATTTCTAGGTAAATGGATTCACCTTAAGACTGTAATCTTGAGTGAAATAAACCAGAGACACATGTTTGCATATCCCATTGTTCCTCTGGTGTGAGAAACTGAAAGGGTAAATGAAGAACAAAATGTATAATAGATATTGGGAGGTAGGAAGAAAATGTTCGAATGGGAAGGGGAACAAAGGAGGGTGAGGAGGAAAGGAAGAAAGGGAAGGGAAAAAGGAGAAGGGGAAAATGGAAATAAAGCTTTTGCAAATAAAAAGGGGGAATAGGTTGAAGGGAGGGGAGGGGATTGGGGAAAAAAGAAGAATCAAGATTTATCATGTACAGGTACAAACTCCCTATGGTGAATGTGATCATTAAGCATATTTAAAATGTACTATTGAAATTAATTTTAAAAAACAAAAAAAGGCATGAAGTACAAATGGGAAAAATAACCTGTCCTTGATCACACGGAGTATGCAATGAAGTGAAAGTTTGCACATAGGAATCCAATTGTAAACTGGCCAGTAAACTTCCTATGGTTTAGATAAAGATGTCCCACAAGAAGCTCCTGTGCTCAGAGATGAGGCTTCTGAAAGATGATTAGAGCACGGGGCACTAACCTCTTCAATAGGTTAATGCACTGATGAGCTCATACCTGTCAGGAGATGGGGCCTGGCTGGAGGAAGTAGCTCACCGGGGGTATGCTTTTGAAGGGTACAGTTTTCCTCAGACTCTTTCTCTGCTTTCTGCTTTTTGGCTGCCACAAGTTGAGAAGCTTTCTTCTATGAGCCCTTCTGCCATGATGTTTCTGCCTGAGAGCCAGCCAACCATGGACTGAACCTTCTGAACCATAAGCCAAACTAAATATTTTCTCCTCTAAATTGTGTATGTCGGGTATTCTGTCCCAGCAACAGAAAAGCTAACTGATTAAAAAAAACTACACCCCTAATTACAAAACCATACCCAAATCCTTGCATCTGGCAAAGGGGCCTGGGTCCAAGGTGGTTTCTGGAAGATATTCTCTGTGACGGTTTTGGTTGTTTATGTTGGTTTGTTTTATGTAGCATTTGTTGACTCCTGGTCAACTGTGCAGTGTTTGGAAGAAATGTGATGAACAATAATTTGATAAAAATCACAAGGGAGACCAAGGCAGAAAATGTGGGAGGTAAATGAAGACTTCAATAGACCCCTGTCTTTTATGTACACCCACCCATCTATGTGTGGTTTGTTCAACAGATGCTCTATGAACCCCCTGCCCTCCAGCCACTATTCTAGGCATATCTGTCCTCGAGGAGGTGGTGAGTATGTTAAAGGAACAGAGGAAAGGTGAGGTGAGTTGTGGGGATGTCACTTTTACAGGATGTTGTGGCAAGGTCCTGAGTTCGATTCCTGATACCAAAAAAAAAAAAAAAAAAAAAAAGAATTAAGGAGGATGTGACCAGGGATGGCTTTTCTGAGAGGTTCCATGTGAATGTCTGGGACCAGGGTGCACTGAGCAGAGGGAGGAAGAAGAGAACCCTGAGGCATGAGGTCTGTGGGAGGCTGAGGTGTCCCATGGATGAGCAAAGGATGGGCCTGACACAGTAGAGTGGGAGGATGAAGCCAGCGGAGTATACATAATATACTTTGTCTCTTTTCATGGGACCTCTTACTTTCAGCTTTCTGCCGTGAGTTGATGTAACATGAAGCCTTCACTAGATGCAGCTATCTGATCTTGGCATCCTGGTAATGTAATATGAACAAAAGATACAGATTTAACATAATACAAAATACATAGAGAATTTACCAAGTGGGCTCACAATGGCTGACTGCAGAATCAGGAGTCAGAGAGTG